TTTTGTACTGTATGATCAAACCTCAGTTCAATCGACAAATGAATGGGGAATAGGGTATGACCATTCTTGAAAATAAGACAGGAAACATTCAGACAAAAGGATGACGATGGAATGGAAAACAGGTTGACTGTACAAAAAGAAATTGTATACGTAGATATGACCAGTCTATGATTTGCAAATCAGTTTATACAAACTGTGGAGAAGAGACCACAGCAAACCGACAACTGATACCATCTATACAATCGGGAGGATTTCACACGTCGAGATAAATTAATTACTCGAGGGGCGAAATGGCGGATCGGGAAAACAAGTGGAGCACGATAGAAACGGGCAACCAATTGAAACGCGGACAAACAATGAAACCGGAAGNGAAGGACAGCACAGCACGAATAAGTCTGGATGTGATGGGTCACGACCAGTCTATTGTTCCCGGTTGACCAGTAAATACAGACCCATAGAGCCCAGGAGCAAATACTAATATGGAGAAAAAGGAGGAGACGAACGACAATAAGTGAAACGGAAACATGAGGAAGGCAAAAAACATTATACCATGGTCATATATTGGATCGGAAGCCGATTTCTTTCGACTTACCACCGTGGATATATAAAATGAACTAAAATCATTTCTCCCCTCTCTGAGAGCTTTGATTAAATAAATTATTAACGTTGGTGAAGTACCAGATGAAATCTATATAAGCCACAAATTAATTATATGAGAAATCTATGAGACATTTTACAAATGTACATTTACCGGTGTAAGCAATATTACTGTCTACACTTTGTTTTAAGGTAACATCACATCGGCGCCAAATTTGATTATATTCTCGGAAAATTGCTCGAGCCTTGGAAGTACGTGCTCATCCCCAATGATGAAAAGCCAGAAGAAACAAGTCATGTTGATATTTAAAGAGGACCGGCTTATATCTGTCTGGGTCTAAAATAACCTGATTTGGGTCGGTAACATGTAATATTTCACCACGGTTTTCTGCAGGTATTTCTTTACGAATTCGTGTTCGAGGGTTTACATGAATCATATGGCCTGTCTAATTGGTCCTGTCCACAGAAATGAACTTGATTCAAAGAGACAACTCACCAATAGTCTCAACCTCAGACATGATATTTCGAACCGGGTTCCAGAATGATGGAGCTCATCCAAACCTTCTACGGTAGTTATTTTAATATCCATATGGTTTTACACTCTTGGGAAATAAATTTCAAAACCATACGCATTCTAATTATGAAATAAACTGAAAGTAGCGTACGCAGTAACACGTGTCAGATACGGAGTAAATCCAAAGGTTTTGTATATATATTGCGTGGATTTTATTGTAAATCATACTCGCCCATACAACCGAAGTTACTGAACGATTAAACTCACTTTCAGTTTCGGATTATCGTTCATGATAATCGTAACTTGACCCAGATGTGGAGCAAATCTAAAATGAGCAAAATTATAGAAACAAATGACAAAAGAAATAATACCTAACTATGTACAAAGCGGACATCGTGATAAACTAATTTGGAACAAAAAAGTTCTATTGACAATCGGTCTCCATTTTCCAATCAAAAATGAAAAGCCATTATAAAAATCTACTACGTATGGAGCGAGAAACAGTCTCAAGGTTAGCCGAATGGTTTTGTCAGAAAAAGACATCTTAAATAAACGGACTACATTTTCGAAATTCAAGTAAAACATCAAACTTTGGACACTATTGGTCATCATTATTATACAGCGTATTACAGTAAAGCGAACTTCACTGATTGTTGCCAAACTCATATTGCACATAGGTAAGTGAGAATGTGTAAGGTGGATAGGGATTGGGTCTATATTCAGGGACAGGGGGAAAAAGAGAACCTCTATGGTCAATAGTCCAACTGTGCATACATGCTATTTCAAGCATTCTGGTCTAATAAGAAGTGAAAGCATTGCTGTCGGTTCGCAACCATGACCTTCAGTGTTTCCAACCATGCGGTTTTGGAGTCTTTGCAACACCATCCCGGAAAACGAGAGACATCTACTTTACCTAATCACTGTGCATTTCTTCCCTAATAATTGTCTATCAGATAAACCGACAAATGAAAACAAACCATAGTATATAATAACATGTGTAACGGAATTGATAACATGATTGGCGGGAACTTGTATTGTAGCAGATCACACGCTTAATCGGCAGACAAGTCAGAAGACAACGCCTCAATGATAAACTTTAATCGATCAAAAACGAGGCATGAGCTAAAACGGGACAAGCAAAATGTTAGAATATGCACCCAGAACAACAACATATATGCAACAGTAAGGCCAAAAATAAATATACAACACGGTTTGTCTGTTTGGCACGGAGAGAGAAAATAAAATCATGAGGAAATGGGCCATTTTTAAATGGGCCAAAGGAGCCGTAGAGAGTATCGATGTACTACTTTAACAAATCAAATGAAGTGAAACAAACGGTAAAAATAATGAGTGCTCACCCTCTGGCTCGACCCATTACTTGTGACGGCGACAGCCAATCCTGACCAGGGGCGTAGAGACCACGATCGTGTACTGGGTTGTTATCACCTTTGGTGAGGAACTTTATTGTCCCGTTTACACTGAATAGAAAAATTTACGTGAGTAAAACATTATGACATTCGTTGACCAAAAGAGAAGACGACGATAGAATGCTTTTGCTCAACCACAAAAGTTTTCAGTTTGAAAAACCGGCAATCATACTATTCCGTGATACAGTTTTCGGTGGCTGTTCTTTTGACTACCCATCTGAATGAAGGGGTCGAAGGAAGATCTCTAAGTGGAAAGCAGGGTCGAAGAGGAAATGAAGTATTCCGGTAGTCTAAGGTTGTAGGGAAATTGAGATAAATGGGCACCAGCCACACCACAACACAGCCATATCACTCGGCGTATATAACCATCTATTATGATGATACTGAGGTCCCCGGGAACCATATGGTCGAGTCCCCGGATTACGGTTTTCATACCCTCATGCAACGTCTTGTTTTGACTACCTTTGGCTTTGTTCCACCCACTACCTGTCTCGGCAAACAGCGCGCGTTATGGCAACCTATTTGGTAACAGGCAAAACCCATGCCCCAAACAACGTTACCTATAGAGGTCGACCACTTTATCCGATGGGTGACTACGGTTACCCGATACTCTGCGACTAAGCTCAGCATCGATTGTCCGGTTGCTCCACCATATTTGTGCGATGCTGTCCAGACAGTGGTGTTCAAACACCGACANTCTATGTTTATCGTGTTTTCTTAATGGCCAAGTATCTACGCTGTATAGCCGAACTGGCGCCGATTAAATTCGACCATGCACGGACAGCCGGATGTCACGGCGGCGCCACGGATGTCTCAAGTTGGCAAGTCTTTCGTATACGCGCCGACACTTCATGTGATGCGTCCGCCAGGCGAGATATATATAGCTTCCCATATATGAAAATTTGTCTACTTCCTCCACTACTTCCCCAGTTAGAGTGAGGCTGGGTGCTGGTCCAACCCAGTCTTGTAGCAACAGATTGAAGGTGCAAAACCCATGTGGTCGACCAATGAAGGAGCACGCGGAATAAATGAAGGTTAATAGCTGACCCAATACGCTGAGGTATACGCAGATCTGTGAAGAATGTAAATGCACGACCGCCGCTGCTTACAACGGCTAAACTATTCAATGCAGCGGAATTCGTGTCGTTCACTTGTTTTATTCGTATTACTGCCATACCAATTCTGCTGACTCATGACAACTGCGTAAAATTTGGGATTACTAATACAAGAGCTAACACTGATTCGTCTGCCTTTATTAGCTCTCATTCATGTCACTGAACCGATCAAAGACTGTTGTTTACGACCACGGGGGATCTTGACAATTCTTACGATAAATTACACAAAAATTCAGTTATGTTTGTGGCGGTTTTCTCTTGGATACTTTCATAGTGCTGTGAATTATCTCATTCTTGTTGTATAATGCACTTTGCTGTAAGTTTATTCAAGTTTATTCAAATTATAGAGAACCTAACGGTTTATTCTGCGCTATTCCAATCGGAAAACCGAAAAAGGAGCGTATGAAACTCGCTTCTATGACGGTAGTTGGACACATGAGGAAATAATGAACAGTTACTCAATCTAGTAGAGGGATGTAAAAATGACAGGAGCGACTTTATAACATGTCCAGCGAAAGCATACTACGCAGCATTTATGAGTTGATAAAGGTCATACCTCTTGTGTATTTTTATGATTCGATGAACGATTGGAATATCCCTGTTTTCAACTTTGAAAACGACAATATCTCCCACTTCTAATGGTTCCTCTGGATAATTGGTGAGATAAAGCACATCTCCACGATAGAATGCAGGTTCCATACTCCCACTATACAATTAGATTAAAGTAAAACATTTCATTCTTACCTCAATACAACAACCAATGGGCTCTCGCTGTAACTGAATACGATGAAGCCTTTCCATAGCATCAAGGCAGAGGCGACAACCATACATATAACTAATACTTGGTAGTATACTTGACGCTTATTCATCCGACGAATTTCATTGAAAAAATCTAAGTCCAACAAGCCCATTTCGATATGACGTGTTGTAGCGCAACAGTTTGAAAGCACGCAGGCCAAGCAAGTCAAGGTCAGGTCAGGTCAGAACAGTCTTGTCTTGAAGTCTTGAAGTGACTCTCGGGTTTGAGGCTGGCGCCCAATGATCCCGGATCCTTGATGGTTTCTGTTTTTCTGTTCTTGGAAGATGCAACTGGAAAATCAGAGAAAACTGGAGGGGCAATATATCTTCTTACCAGGGGGTTATTCTGGCATCATTAATTGTAAACGTAACAATGAGCT